GTGCGAGCGCTCCGCTCGCCCGGCTCTTAAAGCGCGGCGCTTCTGTGTCCGCGGGCTTGGGGGGTGGTTTTTAAACGAACGGCGTTCTCCTGCCCCCAAAAGAATCGCTTTCGCCCCCAAACTGAGCTCGGGGCGCAGCCTTGAGTATGGCGGCTAGGAGAAATCTGGCCCTGTAGCGCGGCCGCTGTGTTGCAGTAACGGGGTGCCACTTGCTGTCTTGCAGGTGGCCGGTCAATAGGGAACGCAATGAAAGAAGCAGAAATAAGGAGGCTCTTGGCTGCCAACCTCCTCTGTGTTTTTTCCATCATTCTGTCAGCGGTTGTTCCATCTTTCTTCTGGGATGGATTCACGGTTTTGGGGACACACCTCGCGTGGCTGTGTATTTGTTCTGTTTGTGTTAGTACCCTTAATATAATCTTGCACTTAGTCCTTAAACCAAATCAGTCTCATAAGAGAAGTTCATTTGCTCACAAGGTAAGATTTTTATTCTTAAATCGCTACCAGGCAATGTGGAGGGGAAGCATTCTTTCACTGAAATAATAAAATGAGAAAGAAGATAATTTTTTGGTGGTGAATTCTTATTTTCCGTGAATGAATTGAGTGTAGCACCTTTTGAAATAAGTTCTCCAATATTTTCGTGATGCTAAACTTTTTCTACCTGTAAATAACACATTCAGGTGAGTAATTCTGTGCCTTTCCCTTTTCTTGTCAATATATTGTTTGTAGTCCCAGCCATTGATCCTACGACAATTTGCATGGTGGCAAAAATTGGCAAAATTGAATGGGTGCAGAACTCATAGTCCAGGCCTGACCTTAAGCGTTCTGAAGAAACGCTTTTCTCGTGTGTAGTTAGAAGTTTGTAATAACATTGAAGGAAGAGAAATATAATTTTTAGAATTTGAAACATAAAAGACCAGCTCATTACAATTTAAACAACGTTGGTAAATTTTTTTTTAAATTATGTGAAAAAGTATTAAAATGGCTCCATTTGCTTGAATGATGACATTTGCATACAGGAGAATCTAAATCTGGGAGAAATTTTTGTAGCTACAGGTTTTAATGGGACCATTAAAGGTAAAAAACCCAATGAAATATTCTTGAACAGAGAGAATTTGAAGCAGCATACAACTTGTTCAGGAGTGGAGGAATACACCAGTGTTTTGGAGTCAGATGCATAGTCTTGCACTGCCAGCTTGCTGAGTCAGACAAGATTTAGTGCTCTGATGTAGTGATTCTAAACATTTAAGCAAGCATCCCTGAAAGCAGTATCTTGTATGCAAAGCTTCTGTCTGGTTTTGCTGATGGAGGAGGATGTGAGATACACAAAATCATTATGGAAAACGAGTATTTTAACCATCTGTGATTTAAAAATGAAACGGGCTTCGTGTTGTAGGTGAGATTTCATTACAGCCTAGCATAAAGTATAAATATTTTTAAAAAAAAAGTGTTCAAGTGAAATGATGGATTTCCACTGGTGACCTGATCAGAACAGACCTAACCAGAACTGTTTATCAAGTGGCTATGCTTTTATATGATACAGTGAGTACCCAGAAACTGTTGTTTAAATCCACAGAAAATTACATGCATTCTGCAGATTTATAGAAAGGCATGGACGTTTGTCACATGGGTTTAGAGCTTAAGGTGCCAAGTTCAAAATGTTGTGGGTTTTATTTCATGTAATTTTAAATATTATGTTTGGTTCTGAATGTCTTTTTTTAATGTTACATTATTTTCTTGCTTTTAAATATTTTTTTCACTTTCTGTGAAAGGTGCCTTTTAATGAATGGACAAAACACTCAGATGTAAAACAGAAATGTAAAAATATCCAATAAAATTATCTATGTTTATCTTGTCATTTCCAGTTATATTTTTTGTATGTTTGCCTTTATTATAATAGGGTGCATGACAAAAAATTAGATGGTAGTGTGATAATTTTTAATAAATTATTAAAAGTATTAAACATGGGGAAAACTGTTCTGAAATACGCCATGCTATTTTCATACTGTGCTGTAGCTGAAATTAAAGAAATAGGTAGAGTACAATTCTATTGATATAGTCTATGTATGTTACTTATGTTCTCTTTTGTTTTGAAGCATTATTCTGACATTTTATTGCTCTTTTTTTAGATATCCAGATTTCTAAAATGCTGTATATACTTTTTCATGTCTTGCATACTATTTCATGCGATTATTGTTCTTTATGGAGCACCTCTCATAGAGTAAGTCAGAAGACCCTGTCTTTCTCTAAACATTTTAAGGGGCAGTTCTCCTCGCAAATATTGGTATAAGCACTTGTATATTCCTGGTACACTGGAAGTTAAATGATAAGCTCCCAGCTAGGGGAAAAAGGATGGATTGTTTGGTGTTTTATTTGTTTGGGGTTTCTTTAGAAGCTGGCTATTCCAATTTCTGTATATTTGGAGATGTGTTGCTCAAAACGGTTACAAACAGCTCCTTTTACTTTAATATTAAAGTTCAACATGTGGGTACAAAAATTTTTCAAAGTTTCATTTAGTCATGTTCCCCATAAGACTCTAAAACATATATCTTGCATATCTTTCATCCTTTTGATATTAGTGTTTTAATTTTTAGGAATGACTAAAAAAAAAAACCACCATGAAGCAGCCTGATTTCTGAGCGCACTATTAAGTTACTGACTAACAATGGCATCATGTAGCTTGGTTTCATGGTTGCTTCCACTACATCAAGCTAGAAAAACAAATGGAATAGTTAAGTAAATATCCAAGCTTACTTCAATTCAGAACTGTTGTTCTATATGAGGTACACCCATGTTATTTAAAGTGTTCCATCTTTACTATTCTACAGAGTAAGAAGAAAATACCTTATTCTTCTACATGAGTTTTAAGAAAGCATATGTGCTTTCACAAGTTGACTTAGAGGGAGTTTTTTTCTTAAGTCTTGGAACTCTTAAAAAATTAGTAACTACCTCACTTAATTTTGTAATATTTCTTCTTTATAGGTCAGTGACTGAGACATTTTTGTTTGCAGTTCTCTTGTCTACCTTTACTACTTTACAATGCTTGTGTATGCTGGGGCCAAACATACAAGCATGGATACGGGTATTTAGTAAAAATGGGTAAGTTCAATTCTAAAGTTTCTGATTTTACCCGGAACAGATGAACAGAATTGATGTAAACAGTATATTGTGGAATTTTTGGTAAAGAAAGGAAAACTTTCTGAATTATGGGTGCTTTTAATATTTGAAATTACAGGCTTATGAAAGCTTTTCTGACAAAATTATTTATTTTAAAGACATTGATCCAGAAAACTGACTTTTTATTTTTTGCGTCCAGACACTAAATCTCACTTTATATGTGTTTGAAGGAAGTAAAGTTTCACGCACACATTTTACTGGTGTAAAACCATTGTGTAGTTCAGAATGATGGTTGTCAAATAAAGAAGAGACCTCAGACTGAGCTGTATAATGAGACTCTTGCACATTATCCAATAGTACCTTCATGAATACTGCTGCTCAAGTAGGAATAACAAGCCAAAACCAATACTATTTTAACAGTATTTTTAACTCGGATATAATGATGAAAATTAGATATAATTTACTGTGGTCTTAAGTATGTAATCTTTACCCATGTTCTTCTTCCAGTTTCAAAGAAAACTGTTTTCAGAATTAGAGTTTTCAAGCATTTTTTTTCAAGAGTATGTTTAAAGTAAAATGAGCCTTTTTACCTCATTTTCACCTCAGGGACAGTCATGACATTAGCATGTATCAAGGATAATGTATTTTTCAGAAGTATTCTATCTCCTCTGCCTTTTTTTTACTCACTAAATAGGATTGCTGAAAGACTAGGATGCTGAAACAAAGAAGCCCCACATATGCTTGATATTTAATAATAAGATGTTTGTATTCTTCCCTTTTAATAGTTCATAAGGGTGAAGTCTAATCTCAAAGGAAAGTGAAAAGTTGTATAACACTGCTTACCTATGGAGTTACTTTTGGTTTAAATTTCTGCAGAGGAGGACAAAAATAGGCATAGTTTTAGGTGTTGACTTGGTTTATCTCAGTTCTCAACTTACTGAAAAATATCTTGAATCCTTATTCAAGTCAGTTAAGCCTATTTTTCTTTATGGTCAGTGGAAGGGTTGAATAGACTTTAATAAAAGCATGGAGTTGTTTAGCCAAAACAAATCATTGCTGATTCATTTAGTCATCTTTGGAGGTTTTGCAACTGGAAATAATAGCTGAATTGAAGTAACAGATGTTTGACGACAGTGTGTCTTTGTGCCATGTTAGCTTTTGAAATAGCCTCCTGCATAATTTTGAATGCCTGTCAATGTCTTTCTTTCCTAGTCTAGATGTTAAAGTTATTTCAGCACAATGATTGCATAGGAAACAGAGTTGTCTTGTTTTGACGTTTTTGCTGTGACAATTTGTACATACTTGTTACTAGTGAGCCATGTGACATTATCTGAATAAAATGTCTGTTTAATGATGATGTTTATTTAGACTAGCCTTTGAAAGTGGACTACAAAGAAATATTGTAGCAGGTTTTTTTATGTAGCAAGATGCTCTTTTAAAAATAATCCTGTGGTTTTTCATTTGACCTCATGAATGAGTTGAAACGTCTTGCATTTAGGTGTGAACTGAGTGTAGACAGGATGTATTAAAAGGTTGTCTCTAACTTAACCACATGGAATGAGGTGGGACTGGCTGCATGGAGGGAAGGGATGGTTAGGTAAGATCAACACAGCTGTTTGCTTTGAAGAGTTTAGTGAACTGCACTGGAACAGCAAGCTGGAAAGTCTGATTAAGCATATAGCTTAGTGTGAAAAAGGAATGTGTTTTAAAAATATCTGAATACAATTTAGAGTTAAGTAACCACTGGCATTTATCTCTTGTTACTCTTATTTGCCTGTGCTGTACTTACAAGATCAAAATGTGTTTGTGCTATTGTCGTGGCAGAAAGACAGAAAAAGGCATCTAGAAAAAGAAAGTTTATTTTGCTATATCGAGTGTAAATAAGTAACAGTGATTAATTACCTAGCTATTGGTCTGGATAGCTTTCTGCTCTGTTTAAGGTGGTCTAGTGTGAAAATACTAATGCACATAGTGTCATAGGGCTATTCATAAAGTTACATTCAAGTAACTTGTATGTAATATATTTCATCATTATAGCTATGGTACAACTGAGTCAGTCCGACTTAAAAAGATTTTGGGGAGTACCTTTTAAAGTGCTTACTTTTTCTGCATTAGGTGCTTAGCTTCCTCTGTTTCTACTTGCAGCACTTGGAAGAGCAGTCAATGTTAGTAAAATAACTTCTAATAAAGTTACTACAAGATCAGTCTTTAAGTGCCCATGCCTCTGGGAGATGGATTATATGCACTGTGTCATTATAACATGTGACCTGTGACACTACAGGTTTATTTGGGTTTGGGTTGCTGGCGGGGTGGAGGGGAGGTGTTGTTTGGTTGAGGGTGTTTTTTATGGAAACAGTTGCATAAAACACAATTGTAGCTCAGACAGGAAATTGCATATGCTCCACATTTTCAAACTGAGTACACTTCTGAATTGGAAATGTCTATTTGATGGACCAAATATATTAATTTTTTTTAAATTACTTTTAAAAATTTGAACAATTTATTCTTACGTATTTATTGTCTATGTACACATTGAATGTGTGAGAAAAGTAAATTTGTGTATTCTGCATCATAAAAACTTCAATTCTAAGTAGGCTATAAATAGGGCTCTCTTTATTAATTCTGCATTTGGGAGGGGGTGGGCCCATGCCAGCTATCTCTGGTCTCCATATTCTGACATCTGGTGTTGTGACCAATGTCATGACACTGATCATATGCTGTCATGTGCTGCTGTAAGCAGATACATGGAATAAAAGCTACAGAAAAGGTTATCAGCATTAATGAAAGCAGGTGACTATTCTTTAAATGGCTTTTCAGTAATTGTTGGCTGAAATAGCCTCCTGCATAAAAGCCTTTAAGAAAGCAGCTTTCAGTTGCTGATTTTTATTGCTTCTTTTGGAGACTTTTATTTTGAATCGCTAGCCTGAATAATTGTGTTGAAATTTCTGGTATGATAGCAATTACGTCACTTGGGCAAGAAATAGATTTTTATTTGGAACTTGCCAAAAAAAAAAAGGTATAAACCCATAATTTTAGGGCTCCTTCAACTGTCATTTCACCTATTTTATGACTTGTTTGTGAATGGCATACTCTTACAGACTTGGAAATGTCCTTTGTAAAAGTAGGCATCATCAAATATTAAGTGCTGCTTAGTATTTCAGTCCTGCTGCAGCCCAAAATTCCAGACTTTGCCTGTCCAGGAGCTGTCTTAGTAAATTCTTTTATGTTAGCTAACCTCTTAATTCAATCATTACTTAAAACATAACAATGTATTGTATTATTTAAAGGAGTTAAATAATTACTTTAGGCTTTAAAAGGCATTTGTGCCACTAGTGATCATGTATTATCTTAAATATTGCTGGTTTTGCCTGCAGTGATCTTTGTTGTAGTTTACTCATGGTTAAAAAGTAAAGAAACATATAAAACTCGAAGTTTATAAATGTTGCTGCAGTTGTTAGCCTCATGTAAATGAGAGGTTTATTTGATGGGTTCATGGACTAAAGAATACCTGCACAATCCTGATCGGTGACATTCCATGAAGAAAACAGAATAATCAGAGCATTGTTCCTTCGATATAATGTTGGAGGACAAGCCAGGTTGTATTTGAGTAGGCAGTGTTCATGCTGCAGGGTGGCTGAATTAGGAGCTCAAATGGTTGCCAGACTACCAATGGCTGTTCTTCACTTGGGCACTGTGCCTTGCTAATTCTGTTGTTTTGCTTTTGGATTCAGTCTGGTGTCTCCATATGGTGCAGCAGTATGTGTGTAGATTTACCAGATAAGATGTCTTGTGGGGTATAAATGTACCTCAGTCATCCTTGGTATATTCTGCTGGTTCTTTCACTGCTTTAAAGCTGTAGAGAACAAATCCTGTGAGGAGCAGTTGAAGGAGCTGTGACTGTTCAGTGTGAGGAAGGAGAAGGCTGAGGGGAGACCTCATCACTCTCTACGCCTACCTGAAAGGACATTGTAGAGAGGTTGGTGCTGGTCTCTTCTCACAGATGATTAGTGACAGAACAAGAGGGAAAGGCTTTAAACTGCAACAGGGGAGGTTCAGACTGGACATTAGGAAAAAAATTTTCACAGAAAGAGTGGTCAGACAGTGGAATAGGCTGCCCAGGGGGGTGGTGGAGTCACCATCCCTGGATGTGTTTAAGGGTCGTTTAGATGAGATGCTGGGGGATATAGTGTAGGGGAGAACTCTGTAGAGAAGAGCTGATGGTTGGACTCCTTGATCCCAAGGGTCTTTTTCCAACCTGAATGATTCTGTGAATGTTCTCTTTCCCATGCTGCTAACAGCTCTCTGCTCAGTTATTCAGCTTCAGAAAATAATTTACAATGATTTTGTATGTGCAGACTCCTGAAAAGTTGTATAGTTAAATCAGGATTTTTCCCTTTAAAAAACACCTCAAATTGGTAGAATTGTAAATTGGAGTCTTGTAAATTAAAGGGATGGAGTTATTATAGAAGAAACAGAGTTCTGCTCAAAATGTCAGTGTTGCATGGTAAATATTATAATTTGTATGACTTTTATTTTGCAAACAATTGCTTTCACTTGTGAGTAATTCAGTCAATAGCAGTGAGTTAAGTGTACTCAGAAGTAAATTTTACACTCTTCAAGACAAGGTGTAAGATTGAAGCTTTAATGTCATGCAATCTAAACAGCACATGTGAAGTTCAGAGTTAACTATCCATCTAGTCTTCTAGCCATAAAAATGCTTATTTTTTTTCTTGTGTTAGCTAAAGCTAGGTTTGTTTTTATAACTTAAGATTTAAATCTCCTACTAATTTGGAGCAGGGATTTCAGCCCAGTTCTCCTGCCTCGGAACTGTGCCCTACTGTGTCCTGAACTTCTGCTGTTGTTTCTTATTGATACTAAGTATTCAAATGTTCATGGCTTGAATAGCAAAGCAATCACTTGATAGACTGATGATGGACAATTAGCGCTTATCTGTCAAGCAGAAACCAAGCTTTTCTAAAACTTTTGAAGTGAGTAGTGGTAGAAGGCTATAAACTGAGAACTGAAGTCATTAACCTCTCTTATGATATGTGCTGTGATTGGCAATGCAAGAGTTCTCTAGTGTGTAATAAATGTATTCTGCAGCCAGTGTATTTGGAACTTGGATGCAGTGGTGCTGAAGGGTTGCAAATGTTTCTTTTCAGTTGATGGAAATTTGCTTTGGAATATTTACATAGTGGACTTCTATAATATTTCCAATTTCAAATTGTTATAATCATCAAATTAACAGCATGTCTACACCACAGAGTACTTTTTGACTGTACTTACACTTTTCTATACAATCTCATGCTACCCTTTCATGTCTGCTTCTCCCTGCAATGCACACAGTATCATTGTGATATTTTCATTTGCTCAGTCAAGCAGTGTTTCAAGCGCAGTAGGAGTATTTCCAAGTAAAATAAAGTAGCTTTTGCAGTAAACATCTCAAGGGGAAAAAAAAATCTACTGAATGTGTGGTATAGAAAGATTGTGATTATAGCTATAATATGCAACTTACACTTTGCATATAGTTTGTACCTTTTAGGAGAAACCTGCATGCTATCTATCAAATACATAGAATTTTATATCTGTTGGTAAGTTTAGAAATCTTGGGAGAAACTTGTAACACACTGTTTTTACAGAGCTATGTCCATCTGGGAAAGTAGTCTACAGATTACTACCATATGCAGTATACTTGGAGCTTGGTTTGGAGCATTTCCTATTCCTCTTGATTGGGATCGGCCTTGGCAGGTCAGTATGTACTCCTTTATCATAAATATAAAAATAGTAATTTTCTGGATATGTACACTACATAGTTGCTCTGAAAAGTGTGCAGGTATATTGAACTTACTCATAAGTTGTTCCTACAAGTTTATGCCAAACATTTAAAAAGTCATTGGAAGCATCTGTGCTTACAGTGTAATGGTGAAAAATGCAGAAATTTTACCTTCATTTCTAATAGGTTCTTTGTTACAGATTTATGAGTGTCTGCTCCATGCAAATTTTATCATGAAATAGAGAATAAAGTATTCTGATAAGAAGCAGCTAGGCAAGCTGGGGGAGAAATGTGAAATGAAGATGGCTCCAAGTTTGTCTGCCTTCAGTCTGGTAGCTTTTATTGTTTATGGGTAGGGAAGGAAAGATGGTTTCCTGGTGTTTCGCTTTCCCCTCTATCTTCCATAAAAGCACTTAATAGAATGCATTTTAAATAGATTTGGATTGATTTGTAGAAATGGTGTGGCTAAGGCACTACTAAAAACTTACTTTCTGATTTCAAAGAAAGGCAAGCATGGAGAAACGGTTTCATTAAACATAACTGAAGTCTGCAATTATCATAAAATGATGACACTAGTAACACTTTTTCCTAAGTGTCTTCAGTGGATATTTTCTTTCCTCAGGTTACCAAACTCATACACTCTCAGCTGACTAGTATCTACCAGGCCTGTTCTTAAGCAGATGGTTTCAAAGGTTTCTTTCAGAAATGAGTATAACAGACAACACACTATTCTCTCTGATATTATAGAGACATTGTGGCTTACAGCTGCAGTGGAAATTTGTCTTCCATAAGTAGCCTGCTTTTATGCCACCAGCCTTTCTTTACAACAGTGTAATAAGATATTAAAATTTCTATTTAAAAAATAATAGAGTAGGTTAATACTTTAAGTAAAAAAAAAAAAATCAGGTTTTCTTCCCTAAAAACACTTGATTTTACTCTTACAAGATGTTTCACCATCAATCTGACATAGGTATGTGTTGGCACTAGTTACTTGTTGATGGACATGAACGTAACCCAAAAATCAAGGGATTCATTGAAATGCAATCTTGTATCTTCTTGCAAAATCTTTCCTGTTCCAATGCGAGGCAAGCACTTCTTTTTTGCTCAGCTAGGATTTTAAAATGGTATGTCACATCAAGCAGGTTTTATTTTATCTCTAAAATCTCAGACTTCGCTAATATACTGTGTATAAAAATTTCACCTTCTATGCACCAATGATATAATGAAAACTTAATTATTAAGTTAGTTGGGTCTGATTAACAAGTCACACAAATAGATTGACAGATGCTTTAAGTACAGTTAATTTTTTACTTTATTTGTCCGTTCCTCCATCTTCTCATAGTAGGAAACACAAGTTTGGTAATGGTCTGGCAGCTTTTTCTGTTTGAAAATTCTTCTAAGTCAGTAAAAGCCAAACATGACTGATGGAAGTTAAGCTCTATAATCTGTGCTTGGACATCTAAAAAGGTATTATCTGATTCCTCAGAACAGCAAAGCATCTGCAGGAGCCTCAGATACTATTAAATTGTCAGTAGTTGTTTCTGGGGCATGAATGGTCCCCAGAGAATTCAGACAGCAGCAGAAAGAGTATGTCTGCATTTTCCTTCTCCTTCACCATCTCCACCCTCACTTCTGACATGCTCCTGATACCAAAGTTGGCAGGGGTGAGTTTCTGACTATCGATTCCTTCATTGAAGTCATTTTCCTGTGCCCAGATCCAGAGCATTTGCTGATGTGTTGCTTCCCTTAAGTTCCCCTCTTTACTCAACCACCCCTTCTCCACCTTTTACCTTGTAGGGTTTAAAATAGCAGGATGGGGGAAGAAATCTTGATTTCCATTTTGGGTCTGAACCGCTTGATCATCACTTTAATCATCATGCGAGCAATTCAAGAGCAGCCTTAGAGAAGTTTGCTTATCAGTCCTGCAGGCTGCTACTTCAACAGTCTTAAAAACTGCAGTTTTAAGTGCTAATTTTTAAAGATCTGCTGTATAAGGGGAAATGAAAGAAGTCCTTGTTAGAATGTAGTTCTTAAAGTCAAATGATCTCAGAAAAGTAACACAGTGAAGAACCAAAATTGTAACAAATATTCAAGGCAGAAATTAACCTCTTTAATGCAGCTTCTTGGAGATCATGTTCACAACTCTCAAAAGTTTTCAATCACCTGTTGATAATTTAATTTTTTTGTGAAGGTGATCTCTTAAATATTGGTCACCCAGGCACAGAAGAATAGGGAGTGCGGGCTGTGGGAAGTGTCTTTGCCAGGCATTTTCAGTAGTTGCCCAAGAATCACTGCATTTCAGTTCAGCCAAGCTCAGATATATATGCATCAGGTTCTCTGCAAACACTGAACTTGACGCAGCAGTTGTCATGAGTCTTTTGTCTTTCAGTCCCCACTGAGTACTGTGGATTCAGCAACACAGGTATTGAGCTGCATGTAGTAACTCTGTGTTGCTGTCTCAGAAACCTGCAGAGCCAAGAGACATTTCTCTTCTTCAGAAGTTCACTGGGCACTAGCAACAAAACACCTTTTGGCAAGAGTATTCCTTTTGCTACCTGTTGCAAGGTGATTACAGAAATTTATAGTAGATTCTTTCACTGTAGCAATGAAAGAGGAGAGGTACTTTCTGCATTGTCTTCAGCCTAAAATGGGGAAAGAAGAATGGCTCTCATAAAGGATCCTCCTTTATGTCACTCTTGAGTGTCTGACCTAACCACTGACTTATTCAACATAAAAATACATGTACATAATGCAGTTGCAGGAAGAGGTTCTTTATTAAAAAAAAACAAAAAAAAAGACATGGGCTGTCAGTGTTTTGTGTACAACCTAATCCAGCTGGTATGCTTATGGGAACACCTACAGATTAAGTCCCAAACAAGGTCTGGAAAAAGTCATATAGATCTTAATGTAGGCTTAAAAGTAATCAGAGCCCAGTCAAAACCAAATTACTTCTAAGCATCTGCATGAATAAAGTATTAAGCTGTCATGCTTTTGACATTAGCCCTTTCTTCTATTGGCCTAAAAGCAGAAAGCTTGAGGATTACAATTTTGCATTTACCCTTCTGAGATCCAAAAAGGGACTCAAATGGATTAGCTTAGTCTTTGGATCCAAGACCAGCTTTTGAGATAAGAACAGTTTTCATTAGTGATTGTTTTCCTTTTCGTATTTTAAGACTTTTTGTTGTAAACAAATTTTTTTTTATTTTTAAATCTGTAGTGGGAATGGTTCTTCTTTAGAACAGAAAATATGGTTTAAATCCTAGTATAAGTGCAAGACTAAAGTGGTATTATCATTTTAGAGAGCAGTGTTAAGGCCTTTAAGGCTGCTTGTTGGAAAAAGTGGTTCCGATATTTGTATTGGCTATGGTTAGTGTTTGTAACAACGTTATGGAAACACAGCTGCATTTGTACTTTTAGCTTCAGACAATTCATTATTTAAGGAATGTTGTAGACAAGAATTGGATGGGTAAATGGTAGGGAGAAATATCACATGATAGATCAAACTAAAGGGTTGCTGCTGCTGCCCTTGTGTTCTGTTTGTAACCCTAAAATGTCAGAAGTTGGCAAAAACAGCTGACATCCAGCAGGTGCAGAAATGCACTATGAGTTTGGAATGAAAAATGCTACTGATACTGATCTAGCTCTATTAGAACAATTAATATAACCTAAGGTTCACACAAAAAGTTAAGCACTGTGTCTTGAATTGGTATATTTTTCCGCTTAATCTCAATTTAGCACTTTATCCAATCTAGTGTCTACACTTTAAACTGCAAACACTTTTAAATTGACTGTAGTCCAGTTCAGAGAGTAGACTGGAGAGGACTTCAGAGAAAGCCACTCCTGTGAAGTCAGTTTTGTTCACAGAAGTGGCTTCAAATGAAAATGGGCTGTAGTCACTCACCTGAAGCAAACAGGCAGTTGAAGGAAACACACAGAGATAAAGTGAGTACTGAGGATGCTGGAATACCAGTAGAGTACTGAATAAAGCTGCCTGCACTTTTCTGTAGGGCACCCGTTGTCTGAATTGCCACACCAATGCATATGGCAGTTCTTTGTTGCTGCTTTGTGGCCTTAAATAGCAACTAAGGGCAACTTAGTTTCTTTTTTTGCTAATCTATTTCCCAGTCATTAACTGTCTGTATTAGGACTAGCATCTGTTCCTGACATCTTAATAGAGGAACTGAAAAATTATGATAGTCATCCCTTTACATCATGGTTGAGAACTTTGTAGAAGCTGAGAAGTTCGTAGTACCATTACCTACATGTTACCTGATCAGAAGATCAGATGTCAATATGTCATGTATATTCTTCACTAGAATTTGTTTTTACTTCAAAGTACTTCAGACTTCTGTGGAGTAAACTTGGTATGAAATTCATCATCAGGAGCTCCAATTCATGTGCTAATAGCTAAAACCAAAATGCTACTTATTCCCGAGTTTTTCATAAACCAAAGAAAACATATTGGTTCTTTATGCATACTTCTTGTGACACACGATAAAACAGATAAATACAGATGTCTCAGAAAATCTTCACTTTATTTTCCATGGTTTTGTTTGAAAAATATTGCATACAGGGGATATTCAGATTAGTGGGCCTGTCTACATTTAAAAATATTAATGTAAAATGCATTTTTTTAGCACATAACTTTTATGCTAAGTAAATATTACTTAATAGGAACAGAATATTGTTGTGGAAATAAAATGACATTATTTGAATAATGTTTCAGAATGGAAATTAAAAATATATAAAGCATTTCTGTTAGAAGTATAAAATATACTGCTGAGTCAGTTGATATCCTGATGATTCATTGTTTTTCATTATTCTGTTGTTGTTCCTAAAGTAACTTTTTAGCATAATTTGGCCATGCATATTGCCCCCCTGCTAGTTTTCAGAAAATTTTGTAACTATGCAACAGTTGGTCAGGGAGGCCTACTCTGTGATTGCTCCAGGTTATACCTCTGCAGAATTAAGCCAG